TGGGGAAAAGGGGATAACCCAGCTGGCTCCGCTCCGGCTCCGTCGCAGGTCGGTGGCCACTGCAAGAACGTCCCTACGCTGGAGTACGGCTTCCTCGTCCAGGTGAGCGTCCTGCCTCCAACTCAGCCCCATCCCACTGCCCGGAGCATCGTTCCCACTGCCCCACATCCCGCTCAGCCCCAGCCGGTTTCCCAGAGCATCCTCCCGAGTGCCGTGGCCACCGCTGGGGTCTGACTCCCACCATCCTCTCCCTCAGATCATGAAGTATGCGGAGCAGCGGATCCCGACACTCAACGAGTACTGCGTGGTGTGTGATGAGCAGCACGTCTTCCAGAACGGCTCCATGCTCAAGGTGCGGGGACAGGGACCAGGCGGGCGTGGGCTGTCACCCCGTGTCACCGTCCCCGGCTCTCCCCACGGCTCCTGTCCCCTCCGCAGCCGGCTGTCTGCACCCGGGAGCTCTGCGTCTTCTCCTTCTACACCCTGGGCGTCATGTCTGGCGCAGCAGAAGAGGTGGCCACGGGCGCTGAGGTAGGAGTGCGTGTGGCGGGTGACCACGCCATCACCTCAGTATGCTGTCCCTTCACCCCATGCTCTGTCACCAAGGTGGTGGACCTGCTGGTGGCCATGTGCCGTGCTGCCCTGGAGTCCCCTCGCAAGAGCATCATCTTTGAGCCTTATCCTTCTGTGGTGGACCCCAGCGACCCCAAAACACTTGCCTTCAACCCCAAGGTAAGCTCCGGGGGGCGATGGGGATGGGGGGAGCCCTGAGGACCCCTCTGATGGCCACCCCTCTCCTGCCCCACATGCAGAAGAAGAACTATGAGCGACTGCAGAAGGCCCTGGACAGCGTGATGTCCATCCGGGAGATGACCCAGGTACGCCGGTGTGGCCCCACACCACCCATGGCCCCATGTGAGACCCCCCTGGTGCGGGATCCTTCGCTGGGGTGGCATTTTGGCACCGATCTCCATCCGCCCACGCTTGGGTGGGTGCCAGGAGACCCAGCTGCACCCCCTCTCACCTCTGCCAGGGGTCCTACCTGGAGATCAAGAAGCAGATGGACAAGCTGGACCCCCTGGCTCATCCCCTCCTGCAATGGTAAGGCCAAGGGTGCCGCTGCCCCACATCCCTCCCCGCTGCCCCACTTCCCCCAAGACATGAGGGATGGGGTGGGGGGCAGCCGGCC